TAATAGGTAATAATAATAATAATAAACTTCCTATAATCTTCAAAATATTAAAATTTAATCTTAAAGGAATATCTCGCCTTTCTATCCCTTTTCCTTTTTTTTTAAAGAGATAATGCATAAGTTTAACCTCGAATTCAACCCATTGTTCTTTATATGATTATAGATAGCATAATCATTCATTTCATTTGCCGTTCTTCATATATCTTGCCCAGAAGACCTATTTTGGCTTTTGATTTACTGTTCAATAATTGACTACAGTTATCTCTTTATCTGGAAACAAAAAAAAAGCTAACTTTATTCATTAATAAATCTCAACGAATCCATTCTACCAGTCTATCTTATTCATTATTCCAATTTAATTTTTACCATAACATTCTCAGCTTAATTCATATTTCAAAAATGCTTCTTTTTTTTCTTGTACCTCAACACCTTTCAAAACAAAATGAACTTTTAAAATATTTGTAGTTGGAAAATGTTAACATTCCCTAAATATTCTTCTGCTTTTTTTTTTTTGCACTGCTTCATTTTTTCTTCCAAACCAAAAATTTTTACAATTTTCACTCTTCCGACTATGTACTATCGATTTTCCTCAACATTTTCCCCAATCTTTACATTATCCATTCAAAATACGACGCAGATGTTTCCAACTCATCAATGAGAAAGAGAAAGGAATCTCGGAAAATAATAAATTTCCCTTTTTATCAATGACATTTTCCGTTTTCCCCCACCACTACGATCTAAGTTTACATTCAAATGATTATATTTGAAACATAAATAACAATTTCATTCATTTCCGCAACATTTTCGAATATTTTTTCATTATTGATTGTATCATTTCAAATATCCTTTTATAATTAATTTCCTACCTTCCAATCACTTTTTTTCTCAAAATGAAACCAACTATTATATATGTGGAATTCGTTTTTTTCTTTTTTGCTTATGCACACATTAGTTTTGGGAATGTAACATGAATATGATGAAAAAGTAAACATAAATCATTCCTTAGAGAATCATTGAAAAGTGGAACTGAAGAACACTTCGAAGTAAGCAAATAAGTAACTGGAATAGGTGAATAGGTAAGTGAGTATAAGATATATTTGAGTAAGAAAGAAATATCACTTAATATTTCAACTGTCACTGTGGCAAAAAAAAAAGAAAGAAAGAAAACGCAATCTCTTAAAACTATCAACCCATTTATTTATTTGATTGATTTATAATTTAAATTTAAAATATTAATGCATTAAAAATATTAAATTATTAAAATATTAAAATATTATAATAAATTTAAAATATTAATATATCAAGATATATAACAAGCAACATGTAACAATTAAATAATTAATAAATAATTGGAATGAAATGGATCACATAAAATTGGTTAAATAACTCAAAAAAGAACCATTCGACTCAAAAATTATATAATATTTAAACTTTTTCATAATGTAAAAATAAAATTTTGCTTAAATAACAAATTTTTATTCAAATTCATACGTACATCTTCTCGTTTTTTCCGTTCCTCTTCCAGAAGACGTTTCACTTCATCAGCTTCATCTTTTGCTGCTTCCGCTTCTTCCCGAGCTTGTCGCATTTTTTTCTTGAGTACATCAAGAAGTGATGTTTGTTGGGCTCCAGCTTTTTCCGGTTTCGACATTTTTTATTTTTTATTTTTATCTCTTTTCCTTTCTTGTCGTCTTCTTTTGTCACTTCTTTTCCTTCTTGTACCAACTATAATTATTTCACATTACACAATATCATTAAACTTTACATCGAATTATGGCCTATTGTTAATGTATATTGATTAAAAAAAAAAAATCAAAATATGCACAAACATATATTCCACAAACTTTTCATACAACTGGAAAGTATGAAATAAAAGCTTAGAAAAAAACACAATTCATGAGAAAAAAAAAAAAACTTTCCGATCATAAATGTGACGTGTGGGAACAATGAGCATAAATAGTGCAAGTTGCAGAAAAATTTGAAATTAAAAATGGAAAAGAAATTTCAGTATTATCAAAATATTTAAGTAATTCATACTTATATTAAATATTGGTGATTTTCAAAACTTCTTAATAAAATTTAGCAGTTTATTTTTCAATCAACACTTTCAGGAAAAAAATCAATTTAATCAAGATTTAAAGAAAATAAGGTTTGGGACTAAATAAGTTCTAAAACAGTTAGGTAATTATGCTAAATCAGTATTGACTGCTAATAATTGGATCGTAGCGCAAATATCTATACATATATATATATGTATATATTATATATTAGTTGGATTCGAATAATTAAAGTAGAAAATAAGATGATATTTGATATATTCTATGCCACTTAAAATTCCGAAACAAAAATCTTTTGTAATTTTTAAAACCGATGAAAATTTCGCGAAAATTTTTATGCTACCAATAATTTTAGTAAGGAGATGATGAGATAGCTAAAAGGAATAGGATGACACTTAAAAAAAAAAAAAAAAAAACTAAGTAATGGTAAAAATGAGAGGTGGTATACTCAAGTTACATC